TTTTTTCTTGAATTCTGAAAGACTCTTGCTTTCTGATAAAGAATGCATGTCTAAGTATGAATGGCTTGAAGGATCCTGAATAGGTAGTACCATGACTTGATAAATAAATAAACTGCATGGGTATCAGAGCATTCTGAATGAATGAACATTGCTTCTGTGCATGATCTACTAATGATTGGCTCAAAGAAGGGTTCCCATTTTCTTGCTAGATATAATGGCTGCGAAGGACTAGTACCAGCAGCGTACCTCAAGAAGATAGGAGAAAACACGCCAAAAGACGGTAACAAGCATCCTCTAATTGGAAAAGAAAGCGTAAGTCATTATTAACTTTGAACGATCTGGAGTGTTTCCGGTTTGAATTGGTTAGGCGTTATCAACTTGCAACAGTTCTTAATTTCCTAGGTCTCTWACGATGTATTTGTCTCAAACTCTACATGTGCATCACGTGAAGGACCACAAAAATACAAAAGACAGAGTGATTGAAAACATGCCAAAAAAGTGTTGCCCAATACTCCCCTTTCACAGTTCCCTGTGCCATCTTAAAAGGTAACCGTGCCTGTGCATCGTAGCGAGAACGGCGGTGACATTGCAATGATAGAGACCTTTTTCTAACACCTTGGACAATTATTCACGTCTCTACCATTGCAAGGTYACCGCCGTTGTCGTTTCGATGCACAGGCAAGGTTACCTTTCAAGATGGCGGAGTAAACTGGGGACTATTGGCTTCTTGACCAGCAAGTGCCMACTCTTGGATTGATATTTCTATCTACCAGATAGTAACACCTTGTATTGTTTGCCGGTTTAACTGATAGGTTCTCTCTCAAAGATATTCCGTAAGTTCTCATCAGCATGACATGACTATCGAGACACTAGCAAAACTGAGAGAGTCGACATTCAAAAGTCCAGAGGAAAAAGAAGAACAAAAAATACTTCCAAAGAGGAAACTAGCAAGAGCGGAGGCGGGAGACGTTTACCTTGAAATGAAGATGTTAGAAGACGGAGGATGGGTCCCTCAGGTGATTCCAGCTACACAAACCCCAGAAAAAGAGAGAAAGATAATACATGACAGGGAGAAGGGCTTCAGTTTGTTGAAAGGATTTGGCAACTTGAGGAAGGCGAGACGAGCTGATGAATCCGATGACAATAAACCCGTCCAAGAAAAGAAAAAACTCTTGAAATTAAATCTCCCACGGCGATCAAAAAGTGCCGCATCTGACTTGAATTCTCTGAAAASGCCAATCCCAAAAACTGAAGAGAGGAAAGAAAAGGTTTTAAAGCCTGTTGATGTCAAACAAACCTCAAGGCGAAAAAGCATGGTGGAAGAAATGATGCCTCACAACGGTACAGAAAAGAAGAATGAAATACCAAGTCAACAAAGGCAGTCCTTAGAAAGCAAAAGAAAATACCGCCAGAACTTTTTACGGCGTTTCAKGAGTTTTACGGCAGAAAATAATTTCCATGTGTTGCCATGGAAAAATGAAGATGGAAAGAATGAGTACATATTAAGCCTTCGAGGAAACAGTGGCCCGTCTAAATGCAAAACTCGTTCTTTGAGTGAATTACGCAATTCTGAGTTCTCTTCCGACAATTCTTCACCAATCACTCCCAAGAAGCAAGGAATGAAAAAATTAGATGGTCCAAAGATCCATGTAGCACAAAAGGTGGATGAYAATCAAACTAAGCAAAACACTTGCACTTCATGCAAAGACGCTCCTRTCAGTGATAGCCCAGTGTTTGTCGTTACGCCACCTTCACCAAAGGCCATTAAGAAGTCAGGAAAAATATCTGAGCTAGGTTCTTATGCTTGCAAGAACAGATTGCACTGGAAAAAGTCCCACTCTTTTTCAGATTTGGCTTCTTTAAACAAACGTTTAGAGGACGATGGATTTGTTGATAATGAAGATAACGACGATYTTTATCTTGATGAGGACGATGATAGTTCTGACGAAGAGATTTGTACTCTTGAAGACTTGTTGAATGAAGATAGAGAAAGYAAGGACATCGATTTTTACTATGAAGATCTCACAGATTACACGCGAAAAATGCCGAGAGAGAGTGGATCATTTGATAGTGGCATGGAAAGTTCATCGCCACCCCCAAGTCCAATGACAATTAAAATACCATACAAGAGTGCAGCAAGTAAAATGTACGTTGCAATAGCAGACTACGAGGGGTCGAAAAGAGAKGGAGAAGTTGACCTCTTTGAAGGCCAACAAGTCAGAGTTTTGCAAAAGACAGTCGGAGGTTGGTGGTTAGTGGAAGGCGATGCAAAACAAAGGGGATGGGCACCTTCAAACTTCCTTGAATACTTTAAACCTCCAATTGAAGGCTTTGATGAGCAACGRCTTGACCAGACGTTCTGCTACGTTGATGATGATGTTCAATCTGCAGGAGTACATGAAGGCATCGAAAGAAATGTGATAAAGCTTTCTAATGGAGAAGAACTTGAAGTTGTTGAAACAAACAAAAATGGTCATTTCATGTTGGTGAGAGTTCCTTCGAGATTTGCATGGCTCTCGAAGTCCTGTGTTCTTGCGGCGAAGGATGACCTACCTCAATGTAAAATATAACAGAGACATTTGAAACGCTTTCAGATAAAGACGTTCAGCTATTGGTCTATAGCTAAAACGTAGTATCTACTAAATAGAACGTAGTGCCTAGGCTAGCAAGACACTGAGCCTTATTGCGACATGGCAGTCAACTTTTTGAAACCTCTGTAAATTAATAATAATAATAATAGTAATAATAAAAATAATATTAATAGTAGGCACAATTTGTCAAGTTGGTAAGATTGCGGAGAGAACTGTTGAAAAACAAGAAAAATACACGGAACTACGTGCAGGCATCAAAAAAGAGTGCAAAAGCTCAAGTGTAAATCAGATTAACATAGTGTTTGACTTTCTCTCAKGACATCAAGAACAGCTAAGAAAAGACCTAAGAACAATTACAAATACAGACAGGGAAGTGAACTTTCTTATAGAACGATGTCAGAAATGGATTTTAAGCCAGAACGTTAATATAGTCAAGAAGTTCTATGAATATGCATAAGCTGAAGAAAGGATTGAAAAAAAATGATGAACTTAACCAGCCTAGACTTAGTCCGCTGGTCAATGTAAACATGATATATACAGATAATAATTGTAATAATAATAATAATAACATCATCATCATCATCATTATTATTATAAGCTAATCTCAATGTAAAATATAACAGAGACATTTGGAACACTTTTAGAGAAAAATGTTCAATAATCTTGAAAGGCCCCTTTGCTAACTGGCCCTAACTTGAATCGTTTTTGATTGGCATTTTGACTACACAAACCCTGTGTTCCGGGTTCAAAAGTACAATTGAATCGCGACTGAGATTATTAGTTAAGGACAAGTTGATTATTGCTATGAAAAAAAAGAATGAATAAATGAATGAAATAAACGAAACTTTAAGAAACAAACTAGTAAAAAAAGACGGTAAATGAATTTTAAATCCATACTTATGAATAAATATTAATTTGTTATTAATGCATAATCAATAAAGGTAAAAGGATGGATTCCTTTCTCACATCAGAGCCGTTTAATACTAATAGCAGCCATAGCCCCCATCCTCTATGGTTTTCCCTCGTTGTCCGCCCTTTTTGAAAATGTTCCCAACTCTGGTCCAAAAATTCTGCAACATTAGCTCATGCCTATACGTTCCCCACTTCTATGTTTGATAGATTCTGATCGTATTATTATCTAATGCTGTGGACGTCATACTACTGTGAGTGGACTGCTGGTAAGCAGAAAGGCCCGAGGAAATGTAGATGGAATCAGGGCATGCTAGGGAATGCAGTGCATGCGGGTTTTTAAGAATTCTCTACTTTCCCATACCCACCATACTTTGCAGCTTTGGGAGGTAACCAGAGGAAAAAAACCCATTTATTTTGCTGAAGGCCGATCAGAAAATGTTAAAAATACCTTGTTTGATACCCAAATATATAAAACGAAGAAGTTAAACAAAAAACAAACAAACATAAAATAAAAACAAACAAAAACAAAACAAAACAACAACAACAAAAAAAGAAAAACAAAAACAAAAAAAAAGATAGAAGCTTGAAGAAGTAAATTTAAAAACATTTTTCGTAAGTCAATACATTTTCTGTAACACCAAACCTCTTGATGTTCTTTACGCGCAAAATTAACTCGGAAGAAACTGATAATCAGTTTTGCACAGATAGAAGGGGGTATAGTATAAAATCAATTGATCGATATTCAATATTCAATTTGGGACAGTTTTTTGATTGGTTACCCCCATGAAGCAACGCATTATTCGAATGTTTTGGCAGGAAGCAAGACAGAACCACGCATAAGGATCAATAAAATAAACTATACTGTTAATATGAGATGATGAAGATCTCAATAAAATGGACCACTACTTGATTAATATATTTTAATTTGCTTTGGGATTATTATCTTCAATTCTAAAATATTTATGCTTGTTGATTACAAATACTTATTACAACAAATGGTATATATTTACAATCACTATGGGCGAGACCCAGGTAATGCTTCCCTTTTTAGACCACATGCATCTTCTCAAGCAATGTTGGTTTGTACAATAACAATGTAATGTCAAGAGCTCTTAACTGATAGGAAAACATTAGAACCAAATGGATTCGTCAAGATTGTTTTGCTTCAAATACATATTCAGGATTTTCATTTCATGTTTCCAGGCAAGGCGAATATGTATTTCTCAAGGATGCGCGCGCATCGAAACTCAAAGGCAAACGTAACACCCTCTTTCAAACAGAAAAAACAAAGTTAAAAAAAATTGTGACACCGCAGGCCGTCAAGTTTCGGGGATTTCCATGGGTGTATAACCATTAGATAAAAGTCTACTGCATCGTAGATTTATCCAAAACCCGCAAACCTTATCAAAATACACTGGGCTTCAATTTTTGACCCTTTGACAGACGTAAAACGTTTGCGAACTCGGTCATCATACAGCTCGTAAGACATGGTTATGTTATTAAGGCTGCAGTGCCAAGTAGCAAGATAAATTCAATATTACCAATCAATTTTTGTATGCGCATTTGGTAATAATAATTGTGTGAAGCTATATCGAAGTCGTATAATAATAAACCATTATGTTCACTATGATTAGAGGTTACATGAAGTAAAACAAATGCCTTCTGTACCAGACACATGGCATAAAACCGTATTATTGACATTACCAATACGTTCACCCCTTTTACTTAGTATTGTTAGATCGAAGAGGCATCTTGATTCGATCCACTGGGGTCTTGAATTTACCTGGCTGAGGAATCTTGGTGGACATACCAGAGGTGCTAGAAGATCGACTCGAGTTCTCTTTATCTTTGGGAGTGTTGTAGACACTAGGTGCTTTAATCTTGGATGGAACCTAATAGTGTATTAACATTGGTTTCAAAATGCATTCATACTTTATTAACAATTCTAAGGTTCAAGAAAAAAACTGGGTCGAGTAGGTATTGCAGTGCATTATGGGACTGTTTTAGGATAAATTTTTCCAAGATGGTGTTTATGTCGTCCTCTTAAACAATCTCACAATTCACAGCACTGCCAACTTGACCGAGTTTCTACTCGACTTCGGAATGGCTTATATTTTATAATGTTTGAAAGTCATATTAGGGGAGACCTAGAGATCTTAGGAAATATGGAGAACTCAAAAGAAAATAAAAGCGTGTGGAGCAAGAGAAAGAAGGACAGTTTAATACCCCTCCCCCCCTCGAAAAAAGACATCTGGGTACTTTATGGTACACCTTTTTCAAGATTTTGCATAACCAGGAGCCAAAGTTCTGATATCTTTGCTTTCGTCCATTACACAGTTTTCATTGCTGATCGAGACAACAGTCGCGACATATTAAATCAGCACTAGACTACCGTCAATCAATCAAATCACTCCTATGTACCTTCTCACGGTCCACAAGTCCCTTTACCTACTCTAGCGATTCATTTCATTGACGGCAGTCTATTGCCCGATTTCCGTATCAGCGCATAGCAATGAAAACAATGGTAAAATCAAAACGTTATTAACTGGTAAATTTTTGAGTATATAATGAAAGGAAATAAGCCAGATTTTAAGCTCTAACCTCTGGTTGTATGAATACTGTGTTTTCTTTTTCATCAGCCTCACTAAGGTTATCGTCCTCTTGTTTGGTATCTTTTTCATCCACAACACTGCTAGTGTCCCTGCTCAGTTCGAACACTGGGATTCCTTCATCACTTGAGACACTCGAAACACTCTGAAGATAAAATTTAACGCTATATTACTATTCTGGAGCTTCGAGCGTGTGTTACATCATCGCACATTGCTGTCTTCAAAATTTCCGTCTTCCTTCTAAGTATTTCGTTTCTGGTTTTCTCAAGTTTAAATATAACCATCTTTGGAGACGGAGCAGTGCGAAAGGTATTATCTTACTTATGAGCAATTCTTGAACGATGAAAAATGATTATGAGAAATCAGACGCTCGCAATTATCTTCACAAATTGTAATTTTAATCAAGCAGCGCTCCATATACAATTAACCTAGATATTTCTTTCGTACAAGGAGATGGATGATGGATTATCATTACCTTATTAGAAGGAAGATCGGGTGTCAGAGGTGCTCTGTAAGTGTCGTGGAATCTCATCAATAATCTATCGTGAGGCGATGTCTTCTTGAGATCGTTAGGGTAGGAGAAATTCCTCCTTGGAGGAGTGGTGCCTATGTTAAAAGAAAGTATTGATAGTCAGGTAACCCGGCAAGTGACTTGTGCAGAATATTATGTACCACCTCCCGGTTGGCTGGGCAACGCACTATTGTGCGGGAGGTTGTGGGTTCAAGTCTCGGCCGCACCAATACTCTGGATCTTTTGAAATATCCGAGTAGAAGGTGCTGCCTTTTCGCTTTTAAAAAAATATCTGCAAATGGTTAAACCTTCGGTTCGGTTTGCAACGTATTATTCTAATACTTATATATGCTGGAAAAACCCTATAAGTTTATACCTAGTGGTTATGAATAGAGATGATGACAACGTAAAATGGCGGTACCGTCTCATTAGAGGACAATAAATTAATCTGTCACGTGTCAACCTCTTGATTTATTTATTTCATTTTCTCTTCAGTTCATCTTACCAGTAGGTAGGTCATCCTTGATACCATCGTTTAGCAGTGTCATCACACTCTGCCTTGACTCATGTACTGCTTTCATTTGTTCATCTGACCAATCAGAATTCGATTCAGAATGCTCAATAATGCCCTCATTCCATGATATCATAGTTTCTTCCAAGTGTTTGTGGTCATGTTGGACGTACTGCACTACATCATCCTTGTGGGCATCTATAGTCTCGCGATTATCCTGTTGATAGTAAAACATATGAATAAGATGATCAAAACAATGCTCGTTTGCTTACATTATAGACATAGAGTATTTCAAAAAAGGTTTTGTCGCATGTTGCATACTACATGCAGAATGGAACAAAACCTTCACCAATGTTGCTTGAAGTAGTTTTATATGAAGGTGCTGGCAACAGTCGTCTCGCGCACAAAAATTGCTCTAATTCATCAGCATATTTTTCACTTGTGACAAGAAAAGGTCCATGTCCTTTTTTAATATTATACGATTCCACACACACAAGTAAATATATTGAGTACTGGTAATGTGAGTGATGATGCTCTCAATACTAAACCTGGCTAGTAGAAGACACCAATATATAGATAAATACATTAATATGAGATTTAGAATCTCGGCTAAGCTTACTTGAATAGTAGTGGTCTGTTCAGTACAGTTCTTTTTAACCATTTGAATGTGATGTTGGAATGACGCGTCCAGGTTTCTTTGCCACTCCTCTGCAAGCTAATGAATCAATATTCGACAAAATCAGTTTTAGCTTCAAAATAACTTCAGAGAAAAATGCGTCTAAACATCAAAGTTTCACAACGATGCTCAAAGTATGAGTACAAATCTACCTTATTGACTTTGGTTGTATTCGCTTCGTTAGCAGTTTCAACGTATTGGCATCGTTCTTCATTAGCCGCGCTGGCCTCTTCGGAAGCTTGTTTAGTCTTGGCTTGGAATTCTACGACATTTGACATTGCTGCGTCAAAGCACTTGTTGGAGAACTGATTTGCGCAGTTTTGGAGAGAATCGCAGCGGCTAAAAAAAAAACAACAATAAACCGTCATTACAAATACCATCATAATCATTTTTCTATCTTTCTTCGTATTTTTATTTTACTTCTTCTTTTTTATGCTATTTTACGCATTAGGGGCTCATTTTGACAAAAAAGGGGGGAGGAGTGGGCGGGGGTCTTGTTACACCATTTTTCTTTCACTGCATTTTCAACATTTAACCCGTGGAGGCTGACCACTAGTTGCTAGTGTCTATTGATAGGCAAGCTCAACTTCAGACCAATAATCTCAGTAATATAATATATCATACATATCATATATTATCTACAATGCAAACACAGAAACATACCTTTCAAATTCCCTTGCGGTTGTCCCCTCGTACTTTTTGCCCTCGTTGACGTTCTCTTTGAACTGAAAACGGACAAAAAAGAATATAATTATAAATTTCAACGAACGAAACATGATTCTCATACTCATTAATAATTCATGAGGAAACCAGCCAATCAATGGGCTATTTGTGGGTCACATGATGTTACTAGAAACCTGATAAAGTCATGTGAAAGGAATGAATTCATTCTCTAGTAACTGAAACAAAATTAATTCAGTCCTAGTAACTGGAACAAAATTGATTCAGTCCTAGGAACAAAATTGATTCAGTCCTAGGACTGAATTAATTTTGTTCCAGTTACTCCAAGTCGAATAATTAATGAGATGAGAATATCGGACTGGACGGGATTTCAAGTCCGCGCAATTACTTCCAGTAACTAATTGCTTGGACTTGAAATCCCGTCCACTCCTCATTGTCGGCTTTGAAATATTACTTAACAAATGTTGAGTTGGGAAACTAAAAAAAATTCACATCCACAAAAAAAAAAAAAGACACGTGTCCGTAGCTTAAAAATAAAACAATTTTTACCTGTGTGGTGTACTGGTTGAGCCGTGTGCCTTGGGATTGTAGCAGATCATCCAAACAAGACGACATTTGTCTCAAGAATGTCTCCTTCATTTCCTAAAAGAAAACCCAAAATAAACCTGTCAGTTTTCGTACCCTTTCAGATCATGACAATGTATTGTTACAGGCCGTTTAAGTAAAGCAAGTTGTAGACATACGCTTTGCATCTCTATCTGGTTGTTGCGGAATGTTTCGGCATCTTTGTAAAGATTGTCCAGCATCTGAATCTGTTTGGAAGAAAGAATTGTAATGAGTGAATTAGAAAAATAGGACATCTGCTATAAAAAGAAATGTAGATTGACTAACTCTAGGAATCCATTTGGTTTGGAAGAGCTACTATAATGTTTATGCTCGTCTGATTAAAACGACCGGGACAGGGCGAGAGTAATGACACGCACTTAACATTGTGAGTATGCAAGAAATTTAACGTGCACTTCAACTTATAGCGTAGTATTTAAAGCTGGTTCGGAGTTCAGTATTGCTTGAGCCATGCGCCTTCAAGCAGCTACGTTGCAAAAAGGACGCATAGCGATCAACTTTGTATGTCCCCCTCTATTTTGAGGGGGAGGGGAGAAGTAGAACTGTATTCGACCTCCGGTTTTGCTGATTAAATCAATCTGACTTGAATGTATGACTCATTTGTAGAACGTTTATTACGTTCGTTGCCGAACCAGATAACAAGCCAAAGTGTAATACAAATAGATGGACCTACCTTTTGACTAGCAAGATCATTAATAAGCAATGATTGGCTGGCTAACATGGCGTTTTGACCTTCAACGAAGCTTTTGATCTCGTCACAATGCTGAGTCATCTATATGTAAGAAAAATGTTTTTAAAAATGCTATTAGTATCCATTATAGGGGAAGCATAGGTAAGGGAAGCATTTTCCCATTTCAGATCATGTGTCTCTTGAGAATAATATTCTAATAAGATTGTATCCATGTTCATGTGTCTTCTGACAGATAACCATTAAACAAAGAAATACTACTTTAGGGAATGAAACGTGGTCCAAAATGGGAATACAGTAAATTCGGTTCAAGAGAATTTTGATATAGAGCTTAAAAAAAAAACCAACATATTTTACCTTGTCTTTGTAAAGAGTACCGAGTTCTGACAAAAAACCGAGTTGACTGGAACATGTTTCTCTGACAGATTGTAYAAATGGCTTCATGATTGATTCCTTGAATTCATTCATGGTGATCATTATCTCTTCCTGTAGACAAGAGAAGATAATAAATTCTCATAAGACCTCTTGTTTAAAGGTGGGGAGGGAGGGAG